GTGATAGTGAACCTGTGATGTTTAAATAATCAGTGATGTGAACCTGAGATGTTTAAATAATCAGTGATGTGAACCTGTGATGTTTAAATAATCAGTGAACCTGAGATGTTTAAATAATCAGTGAACCTGTGATGTTTAAATAATCAGTGATAGTGAACCTGTGATGTTTAAATAATCAGTGATAGTGAACCTGTGATGTTTAAATAATCAGTGAACCTGTGATGTTTAAATAATCAGTGAACCTGTGATGTTTAAATAATCAGTGATAGTGAACCTGAGATGTTTAAATAATCAGTGAACCTGTGATGTTTAAATAATCAGTGATAGTGAACCTGTGATGTTTAAATAATCAGTGAACCTGAGATGTTTAAATAATCAGTGATAGTGAACCTGTGATGTTTAAATAACCAGTGATAGTGAACCTGTGATGTTTAAATAACCAGTGATAGTGAACCTGAGATGTTTAAATAATCAGTGATAGTGAACCTGAGATGTTTAAATAATCAGTGAACCTGTGATGTTTAAATAATCAGTGAACCTGTGATGTTTAAATAATCAGTGATAGTGAACCTGTGATGTTTAAATAATCAGTGAACCTGTGATGTTTAAATAATCAGTGATAGTGAACCTGAGATGTTTAAATAATCAGTGATAGTGAACCTGTGATGTTTAAATAATCAGTGATAGTGAACCTGTGATGTTTAAATAATCAGTGATAGTGAACCTGTGATGTTTAAATAATCAGTGATAGTGAACCTGTGATGTTTAAATAATCAGTGATAGTGAACCTGTGATATTTAAATAATCAGTGATAGTGAACCTGTGATGTTTAAATAATCAGTGATAGTGAACCTGAGATGTTTAAATAATCAGTGATAGTGAACCTGTGATGTTTAAATAACCAGTGATAGTGAACCTGTGATGTTTAAATAACCAGTGATAGTGAACCTGAGATGTTTAAATAATCAGTGATAGTGAACCTGAGATGTTTAAATAATCAGTGAACCTGTGATGTTTAAATAATCAGTGATGGTGAACCTGAGATGTTTAAATAATCAGTGATGGTGAACCTGTGATGTTTAAATAATCAGTGAACCTGAGATGTTTAAATAATCAGTGAACCTGTGATGTTTAAATAATCAGTGATAGTGAACCTGTGATGTTTAAATAATCAGTGATAGTGAACCTGTGATGTTTAAATAATCAGTGAACCTGTGATGTTTAAATAATCAGTGAACCTGTGATGTTTAAATAATCAGTGATAGTGAACCTGAGATGTTTAAATAATCAGTGAACCTGTGATGTTTAAATAATCAGTGATAGTGAACCTGTGATGTTTAAATAATCAGTGAACCTGAGATGTTTAAATAATCAGTGATAGTGAACCTGAGATGTTTAAATAATCAGTGATAGTGAACCTGAGATGTTTAAATAATCAGTGAACCTGTGATGTTTAAATAATCAGTGATAGTGAACCTGTGATGTTTAAATAATCAGTGAACCTGAGATGTTTAAATAATCAGTGATAGTGAACCTGAGATGTTTAAATAACAGTGATAGTGAACCTGTGATGTTTAAATAACCAGTGATAGTGAACCTGAGATGTTTAAATAATCAGTGATAGTGAACCTGTGATGTTTAAATAACCAGTGATAGTGAACCTGTGATGTTTAAATAACCAGTGATAGTGAACCTGTGATGTTTAAATAATCAGTGAACCTGAGATGTTTAAATAATCAGTGAACCTGAGATGTTTAAATAATCAGTGAACCTGAGATGTTTAAATAATCAGTGATAGTGAACCTGAGATGTTTAAATAATCAGTGAACCTGTGATGTTTAAATAATCAGTGAACCTGTGATGTTTAAATAATCAGTGATAGTGAACCTGAGATGTTTAAATAATCAGTGAACCTGTGATGTTTAAATAATCAGTGATAGTGAACCTGAGATGTTTAAATAATCAGTGATAGTGAACCTGTGATGTTTAAATAATCAGTGATAGTGAACCTGTGATGTTTAAATAACAGTGACAGTGAACCTGTGATGTTTCAATAATCAGTGATAGTGAACCTGAGATGTTTCAATAATCAGTGAACCTGTGATGTTTAAATAATCAGTGATAGTGAACCTGAGATGTTTAAATAATCAGTGAACCTGTGATGTTTAAATAATCAGTGATAGTGAACCTGAGATGTTTAAATAATCAGTGATAGTGAACCTGTGATGTTTAAATAACCAGTGATAGTGAACCTGTGATGTTTAAATAACCAGTGATAGTGAACCTGAGATGTTTAAATAATCAGTGATAGTGAACCTGAGATGTTTAAATAATCAGTGAACCTGTGATGTTTAAATAATCAGTGAACCTGTGATGTTTAAATAATCAGTGATAGTGAACCTGTGATGTTTAAATAATCAGTGATAGTGAACCTGTGATGTTTAAATAATCAGTGAGTGAACCTGAGATGTTTAAATAATCAGTGATGGTGAACCTGTGATGTTTAAATAATCAGTGAACCTGAGATGTTTAAATAATCAGTGAACCTGTGATGTTTAAATAATCAGTGATAGTGAACCTGTGATGTTTAAATAATCAGTGATAGTGAACCTGTGATGTTTAAATAATCAGTGAACCTGTGATGTTTAAATAATCAGTGAACCTGTGATGTTTAAATAATCAGTGATAGTGAACCTGAGATGTTTAAATAATCAGTGAACCTGTGATGTTTAAATAATCAGTGATAGTGAACCTGTGATGTTTAAATAATCAGTGATAGTGAACCTGTGATGTTTAAATAATCAGTGAACCTGAGATGTTTAAATAATCAGTGATAGTGAACCTGAGATGTTTAAATAACCAGTGATAGTGAACCTGTGATGTTTAAATAACAGTGATAGTGAACCTGAGATGTTTAAATAATCAGTGATAGTGAACCTGTGATGTTTAAATAACCAGTGATAGTGAACCTGTGATGTTTAAATAACCAGTGATAGTGAACCTGAGATGTTTAAATAATCAGTGATAGTGAACCTGAGATGTTTAAATAATCAGTGAACCTGTGATGTTTAAATAATCAGTGAACCTGTGATGTTTAAATAATCAGTGATAGTGAACCTGTGATGTTTAAATAATCAGTGAACCTGTGATGTTTAAATAATCAGTGATAGTGAACCTGAGATGTTTAAATAATCAGTGATAGTGAACCTGTGATGTTTAAATAATCAGTGATAGTGGACCTGTGATGTTTAAATAATCAGTGATAGTGAACCTGTGATATTTAAATAATCAGTGATAGTGAACCTGTGATGTTTAAATAATCAGTGATAGTGAACCTGTGATATTTAAATAATCAGTGATAGTGAACCTGTGATGTTTAAATAATCAGTGATAGTGAACCTGAGATGTTTAAATAATCAGTGATAGTGAACCTGTGATGTTTAAATAACCAGTGATAGTGAACCTGTGATGTTTAAATAACCAGTGATAGTGAACCTGAGATGTTTAAATAATCAGTGATAGTGAACCTGAGATGTTTAAATAATCAGTGAACCTGTGATGTTTAAATAATCAGTGAACCTGTGATGTTTAAATAATCAGTGATAGTGAACCTGTGATGTTTAAATAATCAGTGATAGTGAACCTGTGATGTTTAAATAATCAGTGATGGTGAACCTGAGATGTTTAAATAATCAGTGATGGTGAACCTGTGATGTTTAAATAATCAGTGAACCTGAGATGTTTAAATAATCAGTGAACCTGTGATGTTTAAATAATCAGTGATAGTGAACCTGTGATGTTTAAATAATCAGTGATAGTGAACCTGTGATGTTTAAATAATCAGTGAACCTGTGATGTTTAAATAATCAGTGAACCTGTGATGTTTAAATAATCAGTGATAGTGAACCTGAGATGTTTAAATAATCAGTGAACCTGTGATGTTTAAATAATCAGTGATAGTGAACCTGTGATGTTTAAATAATCAGTGAACCTGAGATGTTTAAATAATCAGTGATAGTGAACCTGAGATGTTTAAATAATCAGTGATAGTGAACCTGAGATGTTTAAATAATCAGTGAACCTGTGATGTTTAAATAATCAGTGATAGTGAACCTGTGATGTTTAAATAATCAGTGAACCTGAGATGTTTAAATAATCAGTGATAGTGAACCTGAGATGTTTAAATAACCAGTGATAGTGAACCTGTGATGTTTAAATAACCAGTGATAGTGAACCTGAGATGTTTAAATAATCAGTGATAGTGAACCTGTGATGTTTAAATAACCAGTGATAGTGAACCTGTGATGTTTAAATAATCAGTGATAGTGAACCTGAGATGTTTAAATAATCAGTGATAGTGAACCTGAGATGTTTAAATAATCAGTGAACCTGTGATGTTTAAATAATCAGTGAACCTGTGATGTTTAAATAATCAGTGATAGTGAACCTGTGATGTTTAAATAATCAGTGAACCTGTGATGTTTAAATAATCAGTGATAGTGAACCTGAGATGTTTAAATAATCAGTGATAGTGAACCTGTGATGTTTAAATAATCAGTGATAGTGGACCTGTGATGTTTAAATAATCAGTGATAGTGAACCTGTGATATTTAAATAATCAGTGATAGTGAACCTGTGATGTTTAAATAATCAGTGATAGTGAACCTGTGATATTTAAATAATCAGTGATAGTGAACCTGTGATGTTTAAATAATCAGTGATAGTGAACCTGAGATGTTTAAATAATCAGTGATAGTGAACCTGTGATGTTTAAATAATCAGTGATAGTGAACCTGTGATGTTTAAATAATCAGTGATAGTGACCTGTGATGTTTAAATAATCAGTGATAGTGAACCTGTGATGTTTAAATAATCAGTGATAGTGAACCTGTGATGTTTAAATAATCAGTGATAGTGAACCTGTGATGTTTAAATAATCAGTGATAGTGAACCTGTGATGTTTAAAGTCTGACTGATTCGTTTGTTTGTAAGTTACTGACCTGAGATCAGATCTTTATCTCTCCTCGGTCAGCTGATCATCTTCTTTAAACATCGATCTGAAGAAACAACACAGGATTGATTGTTTGACGATTTTATTTTGCAGATTTCCGGCTGCATGAAGTCTAAAAAAAAACCCGGAAGATTTACTGTGACGGACCGTGTGTTCAGAATAATATGTCCGGTGGGCTACAAACTCGAGCGTGAACAACATTCCCACTGAGAAACTTTCCAGATAATCAGCGTTTAGTTTCATTAGTTTTAATAATAAAATATACAGTGGAAGGTTTCGACACATCTTAAACGTTTTAAAACAATAATTAACACAGTGAAGTTCAGAGATTAAGTAATCTCGTGTCTGTTGCCGGGCAACCCAAACATTCTCCTCACAGAGTGGCTGTGATTGGCTAGTTTTACCCCAGCTGGATGTTTCGATTCAGAGGTTGTTTTTGGGGGGGGGGGGGTAGATGATTCCAAAGTACCTTTAGAGACTGTAGGAGTCACGAGCCGGCCTGCATACTGGGAACGTAATGGTTTAGACTCATTAGGACTGGGATTCACCAAAATGTCACGATTTTTATTTGGACGATACAAAAAATCGATCAAAGATCTTAAAAAGTGTATCTGGAGAAAGCTACCAACACTGACTTTAAAGACTTTACATTCAATTTCTTGATTTCTTTTATACACGAGGGGAGGAGTCAGCCGGCCGTCCTGGCGATGTAAACAAAGTGAAGATAGGACTCTGAAAACTCTGAAAACATCACAGACAGTGGGACTCGGGTGTTACACCCATTGTAGACAGTCATGACTCACAGAGTTATTTTCAGAGGATATACTTGATTTATATTATATTTCATTATAAAGCCTTTAAATTTAACTAGTTTAGTATAAATAAACGACTATCAAGACTTTATTTAACCTACTAAAAGATCTTGAAACTTCCTCTGTGCACAGATTACTTTTTCCCAATTATTTTCTCCCCCTATTTTTGAGAGCAGACGTTGGCATGGGGGGAGAAAGGGGGACGTGGAAATCTTTATGGAGACAGTAACAGGGGGTCATTAAGTCAAATTACATGAAAAAAAAACACTTAGTGGATGAAATAATCCAAACTGGAGTTGTGGTCAAAGCTTTTCAATCTTACAGTAATTAAATAGTCCTTTATTTAAACGTAATATTTTAATAATTAAAATATAGATAAGAACACTTTGAAATAATCTCAGTGTGAAAACAAAAACACCTTTAAGTTACCTTTAAGTTAAAACATAATGAGGTCACCAGTTTGAAGACTGGAGAACAGATCAGGCTTCATGTTCACACACGTTGAACAGATCAGAGAATCTGTGTGAAATCAAAGAGACTAAATGTGACCATCACAGACACACGTTAGCGGTGGCTGTGGTGAGATTAGCGGCAGATTAATAAACAATCTTCACATAATATAACAGATTTCTGTTCGCCTCCTGTTTAACTTAAATCAGAAGCAGAGAATCAAAGTTAAAGCCTGAAACGTTTCCTACCTGTTAACACACACACACACACACACACACACACACACACACACACACACACGACCACATCAGAGCCACAACCCAAAGGGTTAAAGACCTTTGATGACTGACACACACACACACACACACACACACACACACACACACACACACACACACACACACACACACAGAGCGATTAGCTGTGTGTATTCATATTTCAAAGCAAGAGAAAATGTTTTGAAGCTGTTTTTGTGTGTGTGTGTGTGTGTGTGTGTGTGTGTGTGTGTGTGGGCTGAAGCTGTGATCTGCTGTCAGAGGATGTAATTAACACTGATTTATATCAACCGCACACACACACCTTAAAAAAACAATTATTAACCATTAAATCATCAGATTAAATACATCCTGTTTGAAAAGGTATTTTTTGTTTTCATTCCTTAGCATCAAAACATCAGTTAGCCGCTTGTTAGCTAAGCAAGCTAGGACTTCTTAGTTTGTTTTCTGAATAAAACGTGAATTACTTTGTAAAAACAACAAACAGACTTTAAGTTTATAAGAATGAAATGCTTCATTCTGCTGTGGTGTGAATTTAAAACGACAGGGTCCTCTGTTTCAACACACCACTCGGTAATAACAGGGTACAATAATATTGGGGTGTAAGGTAGCTCGGCTGTCACCATTAACACAGATTAAGCGATTACTTAAAAAATCCTGACTTGCTTCAAGACCCGTTTTCACTTAAAGGTCGGGTATGTGATTACGCAACCGCTCTGAGAGTTTTTGGGTTAGTTTGGGGTTAGGTTTAGGTTAGTTGGGGTTAGGTTTAGGTTAGTTTGGGGTTAGGTTTAGGTTAGTTGGGGTTAGGTTTAGGTTAGTTTGGGGTTAGGTTTAGGTTAGTTGGGGTTAGGTTTAGGTTAGTTTGGGGTTTAGCCTTAAATTAGATGTCTATACCTCATTATTCAGGTTCCTCTCTTAATTTGGTTGCTGATGATTTATTTAATAAGTGCTAAATTAAAGCCTACTTTTAGCTTTATAAACTTTTAGTGTTTTTGGTTAGCGTTACAAAAAGCTTTGGTTTTACTTATACTAGTGGTTTGGTTCAGCTGAGGGTCTGAACTAGCGTTCAAATGGGGTCTTGTTTAACGTGTTCACCAAAACAGACCATATGGACATCTCCGTCTCATGGTTATTCACGACTTGTGACGTGTTTGCCGACGGTTTCAGAAGAGGGCCCAGGTACTTTTTTTTTGCAGCTTGCAAAATATATGTTAGCAAATCCTTACCCGGAAACAATAGTCTGGCAGAAGTCAGACTGATAAATGTGTCTGTGTTCACACACACCGCTCCTCCGGCAAATATCCAGAGTTTTTCAGGAGTTTTCTGTAAGTGTGAAAGCCTCATACAGTCAACATCCTGCGTTTAAAAAACATGAATGAAAACTGAAACTTCTTCACTTGCTTGAAAAACTGTCAGCTGATTTACTGAACGCTGACACGATTTATCTCGTGATATAAAGAGTTGTTTTATTCTGACGGTATCAGAGCTAATGCTAATAACAAATCATGTGTTAGTGGTTTCTGTGAAAGGACTCTTTATGAAAGCCTCCCCGTGGGCCTTTCATCCACTTCCTGTTTACTTTTCCACCTGACCGAGCTTCTTTCCGTCCCTGCGTTATTTTCTCTGACGAAGCCGCCGTGACAGGAAATTAAAGAGCAGATAAGAAGCATGTGAACACACACATAAATTTAAAAAAAAACACACCAGCTGATTTCCATCCGGATGCTTCTGTCGAGCTCGCAGTCGGTGGTTTAACGTGATCCCTGAGTCCAGGTGAGGACAGAAGCAAACACACACACACACAGGTGAACAACAGGTTTTAATGGTGACAGAGATCAGAGGTCAGATACAGACTCAGGTACATCTAACATGTCAACACTGTGAGATAAAAAGATTAAGTTAATGAAACAGTTCCTGGATGATAAACCAAACCTATAAAAACAAGATGAATAATAATATGTGCTCCTAATTTAACTGTTAATCTTTTTAATATATTCTCCTCTCACCTGTGTGATTGTAGTCATTTCATCAAGTTAAAATATGTTCAATTAAGAGGTGCTATAAATAATAGGCATTATGTTTATCTAATTTATTTAAATATCAAATATAATCCTTTCATAACAAATTGAATCCGACTGATGGTTCCCTGAATTATTCTGTTTGTCAAACTGCTGATTTCAACATCACAAGTCGTTGAAACAAAGACGGAGAAGCTGGCGTTCTTAAGTGGACTTTAATAAAACACACTACTGGTTTTAAAGCCGACATAAAGCCCTCCACCAGTTGATAAAGCAGAAGTAGTTTGCAGCGCTACATCCAGTCGGTTTAAAGTGTGACATTTGAGAGTGGTTAGAGAATCAAAGTCGAAACGTTGTGGACTCTGAAGACGTGTTCAGCGTTTCCAGTGAACGTGTTTGTGTTGACACTACATGTTGAGAAGCATCTGTTCTGATCTGACCGTGACGACAGGATGTCTGAGGGTGATGGTAAAACATGTTTGGAGAAAACATCACAACATAACATCTTCAGCAGCGTGCGTGTGTGCATGTGTGTGTGTGTGTGTGTGTGTGTGTGTGTGTGTGTGTGTGTGTGTGTGTGTGTGTGTGTGTGTGTGTGTGTGTGTCACTCCTCCGTCTCCTCTTCTTCGCTGTAGTCGCTCAGAGGAAACTCACGACTCTCCTTCTGAGTGTTGTAGCTTTTCCTGTGCATCACACACTCCTGATCAATGATGGCCTGCAAGGCACACATCAACACACACACACACACACACACACACACACACACACACACACACACACACACACACACACACACACACACACACACACACACACACACACACACACACACACACACACACACACACACACACACACACACACACAGTAGATCAATAACGTTGCCTGTATGTCTGTGTAATCTGTGTGTAATTGGGAGTTTATTAGGAGGAAATGTTTCCTCTGCAGCTTTGAAGCAGCAGCCTCTGATCTGTGATCAGTCTAATCACTGTGTAATGACTTCACAAACACTTTGGCTTCAACATCACAGTCACACACACACACACTTCCTGCTGATCTGTCGGGACGTGCAGCTCCACTGTGTGTGTGAACAGATTTTAATAACGGGTGGTGTGCAGTCGACTGTGTGAACTTGATTTCTTGCTGTTGACACAGAGTGTTTTTGGGGATCCGTTCAGGATGCAGAAACATGAATCCTGCGGCTGTTTGGGCTCCATCGAGAGTTTTTTTGAAGGTTCAAAGTTTCGGAAGAAGTCCAAGTGACATAATCGACTCCCTTTTAACAGAAACTTTTCTCACAACAACAAGTGACTGATGTACAGAGGTGGGAGGTAACCAAGTACAAATACTTGTTTTTATTTTGCTATCTGTCCTCAACTTTTTGCTTTTAGTGTCCACATTTAAACACAAATATCTTTCTGCAGCTTCCCTACTTTGGCATTGATGCATTTAAGATTATTTATGTATTTATTTATTTATTGAGAGGACAGGACAGAGGATGGAGTTGGAGAGTACGGGTGAGGACCTGTTGGCAACCTCCGGTGTTGAAAAATGAAGCCAATGCAGACGTGCAGAAAAAAGCTGCAGTTCCTTGAGTGTCCACTTGAGGCTGGCTCCAAAAGACCCAGAAGTCACACGCACACCCATTCAAAAAAGCCCCTTTTACAACAGAAATGAACATATTTACATCCTGGTACAAAAAACTATTTTGATTTGATTAGATATTGTCTTCATCGGCACACACTGTACAGGGGGTGAATTTTTTCATAACTCATCCATTTTGATTTTATGAAGGATAAGAGTTATCTGTAGTGAGGCGCGTAGCTGACATGATTGACAGGAGGGCGTGGTGTAACAGTTCGTCAGAGGCTTAAGGCCCGCCTCAGCTCCAGCTCTCAGCCTGTCGTTAGGTTGACTTAAAGTTTGGTTGAGAGAGAATTTACATCCTGGCTACCTCTGCGATGGGACTCAAAAGCCGCCTGCAGTGGGTAACGTCACTCAGGCTTTGTCCTAATATATATTCACAGTCTATGGGGAGGATATGAGGTAAATGGCCAACGGTGGCACTGATTCAACCACTGAGATAAAGCAACACCCTGAGATCAACTGTCGTTAATGAATGTGCTCCGCCTTCCTAAAAGAAAGTCTAGTCTCAGCATAGATAGATTAAACAACAACACCTGTCAAAGGACGTGAAAGACATCGACATTAATTAAGCTGCTTTTTTTTAAATTACCATCATGTGTGAATCCATACTTACCATTTTCTCCTCACTTACGGCCGGGTTACGTAACAGGAAGCAGAGCGGAGCGTACAGGATGTTGATCACCCCGATAAACACCATGAGACAGGGAAAACCTACCGCCTGGACCAGAGCTCCCCCTGTGGATGGCCCTGGAACAACAACAAAGATTTTTAAACGTCTTCAAAGTAAAGGTGTGTCCTGACCAAAGCAAAGTCACATTTTCATGTCGCAACTCTTGCAAAGAGAATCATGCTTTTAGATAAAAAGGCTTTTCTCATCTGTCTCTAGAACTGACTTTTTCAGCTTCACATGTTTATACCATCAGGCATGTGTATGTGTTTGAGTGTGTGTGTGTGTGTGTGTGTGTGTGTGTGTGTGTGTGTGTGTGTGTGTGTGTGTGTGTGTGTGTTTGTGTGTGTGTGTGTGTGTGTGTGTGTGTGTGTGTGTGTGTGTGTGTGTGTTACCGATAGCGAATCCCATACACAGCGCCACGTCAGCGATAGCGTAGACACTGCCGTAAACAGACGCATGGCGGATGTCCACCAGGTAGCCCATGATGGCCATCATGGAAGAGTCGACCATACCTGAGGGACGACAACACGAACGTCACCAAAAGTGAAAGATGTTCTCCACAGTTTCAAATGAATCAAACCAGTTTGTCTGCATCCGTTTCTCCACAAACACCTGAACACTTGAGATTCAGTGAAATAATGTTGACAGATACCTATAGCGAAGCCCAGACCTCCGTTTGGTCCAATCAGTCCGTAGATACTGGTGGCAAAAGGGACCTGACTCACACACACACACACACACACACACACACCAAGACAAAGGAGATGATCGCAGACTTTAGAGCCCCATACTCCACAACATCAGCCCATAATTATCAAAAACCAGGCAGTTGAATAGGTGGAAACCTACAAATATCTCGGGACGATAATCGATTCAAAACTGACCTTTGAGAAAAATTGTGAGGCAGTCTGCAAAACGACGCATTGACCTTTGTTTCGTCTGAGGAAACCTTCCTGATGTCAAGTTGACAAAACCCTGATGATTTTTTTCCTACAGAGCTTTCAGTGAATCAGTCCTGTCTTTGTCTCTCGTTTCATGGTTTGGTAAACGGACTCTTAAGTGGGCGAGCAAACTTATAAGAGAGTCTCAATCCGACCTGATGGATCTCTATTCTTTAGAGCTGAAGCGCGAGGCGAGCACTATTCCTAACGACCGCTCTCATCCCTGAAACTGGGGAGTTTCAGCTTCGATTTGCTCCTAAAGGGAGAACAAAACGCTACAGGAACTCTTTTATACCTGCAGCTGTAGCACTGCTGAACAAAGCTAGCACAAGATGATGCACTTTAAACGTGTGTGTGTGTTTGAGGACTTCTCCATGACCAGATTTGATCTTTAAGGAAGAGGAGACGGATGAAGAGATTGAAAACTGATCCAACAGATGATTGATTTGATGGATGGATGATTTGTAGAAGGATAGATGCGACGGGAATGACAGATTATTGGATGATTGGAAGATGATATTTGGATGGCTGGGTGTTTGTACTTACACACAGCAGACTGATGCCAACGATAAACATCCCCAACATTGAGCAGAGCCACCTGGAGACACAAAAATACCCATCAGCCCCCTCTGTCTGTCCGTCTGTGTGTCTTTAAAACCTGCAGGTTTACCAGAACTCTCCAGGTTCAGGTCTGAACAGGACTCTTGACTTTCAAGAAAAGTTAATCAGGTAATCTGCTGATTAAACCTCTTCCTCTTTGGCACTGAACTCAACAACACACACACACACACACACACACACACACACACACACACACACACACACACACACACACACACACACACACACACACACACACACACACACACACACACACACACACACACACACACACACACACACACACACACACTGACCGTCCCATCTTGTTGGCCAAAACACCAAACAGGTTTGTTCCTATCAGGTAGGAGATGCTGGCAGGTAGGAAGGCCATACCTGAAACACAACACACACCTGTTAGAGAAGTTAGAGGGGTGGGGGGGGGCATGAGGAGGAGGATTAAAGGACGAGATGAAGGAGGTGACGTCAGGGAGCTCTGCGTGAAAGAAGAAAATGTTTCAACTTTCGCGCAAGAACGGCAAACGAGACCCTGCGCTGCGCTCAACATGGCGTCGAGGAGATGCACGTTTACGCGGAGCAACACAATACACAATGAATGGGCTTGACAGCGGCGCGCAGCTCCCACCGCGTCCTAAAGGCCCTTAAGTTGGATCTTACCAAGTTGCCATTTTGGGGAACACATGGTCTGCATCATCCAGATGGGCAGAGTCGGCTCCAGGATGGCGACGCCCATGTTTGCGAAACACAGAGAACCTGCAGACACATAAAAGGACGTAAAGGTGGATAAAAAGAGAGCAGCGTCAATCCCCTGACACCCTCACTCACACAGAAACAAACAGGTAGACCCTGACACCCTCACTCACATAGAAACAAACAGGTAGACCCTGACACCCTCACTCACATAGAAACAAACAGGTAGACCCTGACACCCTCACTCACATAGAAACAAACAGGTAGACCCTGACACCCTCACTCACAGAAACAAACAGGTAGACCCTACAGACTGATTATGAAGATGGACAACATGAGCACTGCCAGATGACGTCACAGCTCAATATGTCGGAGCTTGTTTGAGGATATTTTGACTTCATTTTTGTACGACGAGAGGAGAAGGAGACTCGTCATCCACCTTCATATACAGTAAATAGTGAACTCCTACTTTGCAGAGAGCCATGTGTCCTAACACAGACTCATGTTAGCGCCTTCTTACCTGCACTGATGAGGATGTACGGATCTTTTAACAGCGTCAGTAGCGGAGTCCCCTCCACACTCTGAAACACAGAAACTGAAGCTGGTCACTCTGATCCAAAACAGACCTGAATGGTAGAACCCAGACCATCATTTAGATCACTTAAAGCTGAATCAGGGAGGACCAGACCAAACTAGATCAGATCAGCTGGCAGTTCTGAAGTGTACTCACCCCTGGAGAGATCTTTGAAGGCTGCAGGATGAACAGCTGTAATACTGAAACACAAAAACAGCAGAACACACAAACTTCAATAGTAAATAAAAATTTAAAAAGTGTTTAAAAACTACAGCTGCCTTTAGTCTTACTGGGTCTTCAGGCTGACTGGAAAATGAAATCTTATCCAGGAAGTTCAATAATGTATAAGGACCATTGTATGATACAATATGTGAATTTAAGAGATAGAAGTCAGAGACTCTTTTTCAGGACATGAGGCCCTGACACACCAAGCAGACGCATGAACGCAGGCCAGATGTTGCGTCGCCTCAGGTCGCCTCACGTCGCCTCAGGTCGCCTCACGTCGCCTCAGGTCTTGGCCAAAAAGTTGCAATAGAACTCACCGCAAAGACTACAGCCGACGGCCAACCACCACGTACGTTCTGCGTATGTATGAGGGGAAATAACTCTCCATGCCATTAGGCGAGGTAGCTTGTTGTCATGATACAAAAGACCATTTTCACACCGCTGTCGGTCACCACTCGTATATAGGTACTTTTAATGGAGAATAATGTCTGATAAAAAGTTTTTAAAATGGCGCTGGCATTGTCAGCCCTGAGTCTTTTAGTGGAAAAAGAAAGAAGAGAAGAGGCGACAAATAATGAGAAACCGCACTAATGGGTGAAAGCATGGATACTACAGCGGCATGCTCAAGGGGCTTTCCTGAACCTGTGAGGAGAGCTGGAGAGAAATGAAACCTCCCAACAGCCAATCAGAGAGATTCCTCTCACCGACCGACAAACGCCGATTCAACATGTCGAATCGGCCGGAAAAGGCAGACAGGGGCCGACGGGTAGCGACTCACCACCGAGCTCCTTGGTGCGTCAGGGCCTTTTAAAGTGAAACTTAAGAAGTGCCAGCAGGTAAGCAAAAAGAAGTCTGACTGCATAGAAGTCTAACGGGGGAAAAGCCCACTGCTACCGTGATTTATTACATCAGTCAACGTTTTCTGATATTTTCTTGGTGTAGTTTCAAGTGTCTTCTTCATAACAGCTTCAGTCTTTAAATGATGGTCCCGTTTAAAATTGATGATAAAGCAGGGTACGCTTTAGGTTCACACTTCTATCTCATGATGAGATAAAAGTGTCTTGTTTTGGGAAAGCTACTACCGTTCATTATGACCGATATTTGTGTCTTTTTTTTCTCCTTACTTCCATCAAACACAGCCAGGAAGGCCAGAATCAGAAAGGGGCGCTCTTCCCCACGAACTCGTACATCACACTGCCAAATGGAGCTCCGACTGAAACACAACAAACAAACAATACAACAACAGTCACTTCCAAAGTGACCCTACTTCCAAAGGATTATGACTAAAAGCCCCCCCCCACCCCCCCTTTTGTAATATAACGTATGAGTGTGTTTGTGTGTCTCACTCAGCACTCCCATAGCCAGTCCTCCCAGTGCGATGCCCATGGCAATGCCTCTCCTCATCATCTGTGTATACACTGGCCAGCATACCAAGACCTACACAGACACACACACCACACACACACACACACACACACACACACACACAGATATGAGGATATGAGAACACAAATGATAGTATGGTGGTATAAAAAGATTAACATGAACGTTAAATCTCTGACCCGCTACAGAGGAGAAGGATGAGCCGATCCCCTGCAGAGAGCGAGCGAAGAGAGCAGAGCGTAGGTCCTGAGAAAGCAAACACTGATACACACACACACACACACACACACACACACACACACACACACACACACACACACACACACACACACACACACACACACACACACACACACACACACACACACACACACACACACACACACACACACACACACACACACACACACACACACGCGCGCGAAAACATCTCTTTATAGAAAACTTTCTCTCAACAACGTGTTTG